ATACTCCAAGAAGGTTCATCTGCTCTGAAATTGATCAAGAAAATTGACTTCTTTCCAGAGCCCACCGCAGTAGGCACCTTGTTGGCAGGTCACAGGTATTTCCATCATACCAAAAAACAAAAACCTCCATCCAGTCTCTGAGCCAGGGGTGACCTCAGCTCCAACTGACCTCCCCTGAATGGTTAATTCAGCTGTTTGTCTGTTTATTCAGATATTTATAGATCCTCTACCATGGTGTTTTCCGCCAGCACAGAGAACCATGGTCCCTTGCCTGCCTACATCCTGTGGTCTCACTCAGGGTGGAGAGTTTCATAGGGAACAGGCGGGGCTGTGTAGGAGAAGAGGAAGAAAACGCTGGAGGCCACGTGGCAAAAGCCTCGTATCTCAGCACTCAGCACTCAGCAGAGGCAGAATGATTGCTGTCAATTCAGCCTCAGCTTGGTCTACATCACAAGTTCTAGGCCAGCCAGGGCTACACAGAAAAAGCCTTTTTCAACAACTAAAAACACAGGAAGGAGGGGTGGGGAGATGTGACAGAAAAGGAAAAAAGGGGGTGGATGAAAAGGGAGAGACCAGGAGGAGATAGATGGAAAAGGCCAGCGAATGGAAGCTGGCCACTGTGGCCCCACTATCCATGCATGTTGGCTCTTTGGCGGGCAGCACATGATGAAGACAGCCTAGAGCCTGTCTTGAGACGCTGCTGAGTGGGTTACTCAAGACAGGAAGGAGCAGAACCTTGGTAGCTCCAGTGTGCTGCTGAAGGACCCGGCCTCTCTCTCGATGTCACAGGAGCTGTAAAGCAAGTGGCACATGTGATCCAGTCTCCATGACAACTCCCCCAAGTCACAATGACATGAAAGCATCATACTTCCTTTGAATGATTTTATTAAATGATGGAAGTGATGTCTGAAGTAGAATTGAGTGACCTGCATTTGTTTCAGCTGGACGGATGCCAGGGTCAAGAGAGACATCTACAGACATTTGCTGAGTGAATAAGAGATGAAAGTGAAGCTGTGTACAGGGTGGTCGTTTGCATGGTGAACGTGCATCAGATTTTATTTTGAAGGTCATGTCAAGGTTTATAAGTGAGTTGGTTCCCCCTGGCAGCTCCATTGACTTTGTGAAGGCAGCTGCTTCCAACTTGGGCTCATATATGTAGTTTAGCCAATGCCTTTGCTGTTCGGTTCCTGTTTGCGTGTGTGAGGTCTGTGGCCGTTTCTGTGAGCTAATTTTTTGGAAGAAATTTTTTTAATTCTTTTTTGTAGAATTCACAGTATTTGAAAAGAGGCAATCAAGTGGATGCCCTATTATGCTGAGAACACAAGTGGAAACAGGGTCAACCAGACCCTGTACAGCCCTCCCAGGTTCCACAGCTCTGGAGAACAGAATTAGTAAACTCACCTATAGGCCCAAAGTGAGAGGGAACTGGGCATGGAGCTGGGGGAGAATAGGAAATAAAAACCAAGAACTATCTTGACTCCAGGTTTCATTTGCTTGGTGATGAAGAGAAAGAGCTGACTCTTCCCTTCAACCATGGGTTCCAGGGATTGATTTAGACCATACTTACCCAGCAAGCACTTTTACTTGCTGAACTATCTTGCCCGTCTTGCTTCAGATCCCTTGAGCACCTGTTAATTAGCTAGAACTTCCAACTTTACAGGGAAAAGAAAAATCTTGCTTAAACTAATTCTTACCTTGGCAACTATATGGTTAAAAGCAAGTGGTTTTTCTTTTTGTTTGCTTACTTGAATCCAAGCTGGAGGGCCTTGGTGTTGGGAGAGAAGGTGGCTAAAGCCCTTTCAGGGGGTCCTCATTCCAAAAGGATTATGCATTCTTCAGGTGAGGGTTGGTTTTCATTCTCAGACCCAGTGCCACTGAAGTCGCTCAAGGTCAGTCTCTTATCTTGCAGTTCACTTTGAGGTCACCCATGCTAAAAGTGAGATTGAGTTTCCCACGGAAGTGTTTTTTTCACTTAAGTTTGATTGGTGTCCCTCCCTTACACTAAATAATAGTGGGCTTCTGTGTCAAGTGGAGTTTCCTTGTCATTCCTTGTCATTCACTATGCAACAAGAGACTGGAGACTACAGCTAACAAACATGTTGCTGAAGCGATACTGAATTTTTCTCTGGACCATCTCTACACAATACAAACCTGTGATTATCTAGCTTTGAGAGCATTAATAGTTACCAAAACAAAAAGTATTTCTGAGAACAAACTCAAAGAACCATGATTAGTAGCTCATAAAAAACAAAAACAAAACAAAACAAAAAACTTGTTTCCCATAAAACGCTTTAGCTTTGTAGGACTGGAGTTCCAGGAGACCAGAGAGTTGGTACCGGAGGGAAATGGAGGGGAATGGAGGGGAATGGGGGGATTCCAGACAACTGGTTCCAGGTCATGAAACGACGAGCCATCGAGTGTGAAGCCCTCCCCCTTTGTAGAGTGGGTTACAGCTTCCTGTATGGAGAAAGATGACCGCGTATTATTGTCTTTTACACACACCAGTACCCTATACGCACATTTCTGTTGTTACATATGCCACACTGGGTATAATTATGTTTGCACATTGCTTTTCTTACAGGATCAAAAATTTAGGGGCTGCAGCGGGAGGACACAGGCTTGGCATGTTGGACTTAATTCTCAGTACCCTCTTTAAAAAGAAACTGACGTAGAGCATGAGTTATCTGTACAGTCTGCCAACAAGTTGAATGAATGAATGAATGAATGAATGAATGAATGAATGAATGAATGAATGAATGAATGAATGAGAAGCCTGCATAGGGCAGGGACTATTAATCAGCTAAACCATATTCTGGGTTTCTAAGAATTCTTGCAGTTTTACTGTGTTTAAAGTGTTGCCTTGTCATGACAGAGTTCCCTAAGGTATTATTCCAATTCAATATGAATCAATGCTGAGAACAATGAGTCCAGTGTGTGCCTCCTTCCCCTTGGTCCCTCAGGACAATGAGCATTCCTCAGCCCCTAGGTGCCCCAGACTGAAGGACTAGATCGGAAAATCTGCAGCTCAGCATCAGCCCATTTGTTGCTGTTGAACTTCTTTCCTGGGCTCTTAAATTCCACATACAGCACAGTTTTATATACAGACACACACATATCATAAATATACAATATATATATCGATCTCTGAGACTGTATTAAAAGAGCTAGGCAATTTTAAAATCAAAAGGGACTTCTTAATTGGACTTAATTACCGGTACCATCTTTTAAAAACTGATGTGGAACATGAGTTAATCTGTACAGTCTGCATTAGGGCAGGTGACTAGAATAGCAGTCTTCAACAAGTGAATGAATGAATGAATGAATGAATGAATGAATGACTTCTTAATTTCGGTTTATTAGTAGGAGATGAGGTTAAGGCAGTGTTTTGCTATATGACCATGGCTTGTCTGGTACTTGCTTACATAGCTCAGGCTGGCCTTGAACTCACAGCAATCCCCCTCCCTCAGGATCCTGAGTGCTGGCATTACAGGCATGCACCAGCAGGCCTGGCTTGATTTTTTTAACTTTGTTACCAGCTTGGAGGTTGAGCCCCTTGAAAGGCAATCCCTTTTGTTGGTAGGAATGCTAGAACTGAAGTCGAATGGGCTCATCCAGTTGAGGTGGAAGGATTCGGCTCTTCCCTCTGGGAATCAAATCACAGCCTCTAACTGGCTGTGTGATCATAGTAGTTTGGGTAATATTATCTCCCTTGTAAAGTCTGATTGGCAGTCCATCTCATGAGTGGCTCATGACAAGAAAGTGTGTAGGATTGCATAAATCGGAGCTCCTGCTGTAACGCACAGCCTCAGTGATCTTGTTTCTGCCCGCGATTGCCTGACTCATAGCCTGTGGCTGACAGGAGACGTGCAGGATTTCCTTGGCATTGTTAGGCGGGGCTGTGGATTCTGGCTTACTTGATAGAACTCAGTAGTATCAAAGGCACAGTCAAAGCCAGGTGTGGCATGCATGCCTGTCATCCTGGCACTTGGGAGACCTCAGTAGAAGACTTGTTAGTTTGAGGCCAGCCTGGGCTCAAAACACCAAAGAGAGGGAACTTGGAGAGATGGCTCAGCGGTTAAGAACACTGGCTGCTTTTCCAGAGGACCAGGGTTCAATTCCCAGCACCCACATGGCAGCTCACAACCGTCTGTAACTCCAGTTTCAGGGGACCCAAAGCCTTCCTCTGACGTTCTCAGGCACCAGGCCCACATACATGCACTCAAGCAAACACTTATACACGTACGGGTTCCCAAGAGGTAAATATGCATATATGCATAAATGCACACAAGCAATCCCTTATACACACACAGGCACACAAGAGGTGTACATACATACAATCATGAAAGCAAAAACTCATACACATAAAGCTTTAAAAAAAATGCCGAGGGAAGGGTGGGAGGGGCTATACCCCAGTGGATTTCAGGGCAAAGCGCATGCCCTACTATTGTGCGGAACTTGGGTTGAATAAAAAAAAAACACAGAGGCCACAGCCAGAGCCATGGCACCTCAGCCCTTGAATACAAGACCTGCGGTTTCTTACTTAAAACAAAACAAAACACCCTCCCTCCTCCGGAATTACAAGTTTTGCTGCTCTTTCTGTTTTTATTTTCTTTACTTATAAGTTATGGCACCCTTCCAGCCAACCATCAACTGTGATTTCACTGTGTAGTTGTATATTTTAGCAAGATTGTTGCTACAAGGCTCTAGGATCCCAGAACACAGTACATAAACATTCTGAAAATAAGATCAACATAACCTAGTATACTGATCTTTTAAACTACACACCAGAGTAATAACTGTTTCTATTGAGTTGAGTTCCTTTTCATTCCGATGGTAAATAATGAGCATTGGAAGCATGGAAACTTCAGTCACATGAACATAAGTCACCATGAAATTGTGAAGTTGCCAGGAGGGAGAAGAGGGCTTCTCTTCTCATTCTCTCAGAGTTCATTTGTCATTTTAAGAGATAACTTATTTTTCTCTCCTTCTTCCTCGTGAAGGCAGAAACCTGTGGGTTCTCGTTGTGGGGCAGTCTCCAAAGGAACACAGAGTTGGGATTCCAGAATTCAAGTACGTGGCAAACATGCATGGAGATGAGGTACGTACAGGGAGTGGCCGCCTAGAAGGAACTTTCCCTCAGGTCCCTCCTGGTGTCAGCACAGATGAGAAAGCCTGGTGAGTTCTGTGCATCTTAGTCAAGCAGCGGGGACAGAGAGGAAGCTGAGGGAACCAGCTCTAACAGCAGCAGACCACGTGGCCATACGATTGGTCCCCAGAGAGAGTAACCAGAGCTGCTTTTGTGTTGGGGCTCTCTGTGCTGCCTCCAGCTCTGTCCTTCGGCTCCTTTCTGGGTTGGTTTCCCATCTCCTGTCGGCATTTAAGAAATCCATCACTGGAGGTCTGTTGTACTTGAACTCAAAATGATGAGAAGACCCAAAATAGTTGTCCAGACTCCCAGCATCTGGCTTATTTAGCTTTTAATTTTTAATTTTAATCTTAATTTACTTATTCATTTATGGTACTGGGGACTGAGCCCCAGGTCTCGTGCTTTCTAGGTAAGTACTTTGTCTCTGGGCTGTTTCTCCAGCCCATGAATGTGGCATTCGAAGCTGTCTGTCACAGCTCCAGTGTAGATGCACACAACCTTCTTTCCAACCTGCCTTGCGATAATCACGCTCTTAGTGTCGTCTTCTCCAAATTAGAGGAGATGAGCTGTTCTTATTTTGTTCTGCAAAATACCTTCTCACCACTCTTCCAAGTGCTAAGAATGTAATGGCTGGTGTCCTAGTTTGCTTTCTCCCACAATGATAAAGGCCACAACCGAAAGCAGCGTGGGGGTGAGGGGTAATGGTTTATTCAGGTCACTGAGGAAAGTCAGGGCAGGAGCTCAGGGCAGGAACTGCAGCAGAGACCACGATGGAAAGCTGCTTACTGCTTCTTTCTCTAGCTAACAGCTCCCTCTCTCATACTTCCCAAGGTCACCTGCCTAGGGGTTAGCACCGCCCACAGTGGGCTGGGCCCTCCCATCAATCATTAATCAAGAAAATGCCCCGCAGACTTGTCTACAGGCCAATCTAATGGAGGCATTTGCTCAGCTCGGGTTCCCTCTTCCCAGGTGACCCTAGCTTGTGTCACGTGGACAGAAAGACCAACCAGCACTGCAGGGCTGTTGAAGATGTCTACCTCTCTTTCTCACCTTGCTTCCTCTGGATACTTCTGTGTACCAGGACTCCACGCAACTGAGGAAGGGACAGTAGCTCCCAGTGACCTCAGTAAAGAGACCTGAGAGGAGCTGTGTAAAGTACCCTGTGTGAAGCGCTTTCAGCTTTTAGGAACTTCCTGCATGTGGCAGGAGGTACAGCCTGCTGACTGCCAAATCAGTCTTCACAGTTTGCAGTAGCTGGGCTGGGATGCTCCAGTCCAGCTGAACCTCATGACCTGATTTAACCTCTTCAAGCTCTGGTTCCTTAGGACCTGGCTCCACCCTTTCTGACACACACAGCCCTTGCCAAGCATGTCGCCCAACCCGTCCTGCTGAGAGAATGTTTCTTGCAGGCAGAGTTAATTGCAAATGCATGCTTGTAAGAAAGCAACCTGCTGAAGGGTGGGTAAAAAAACAATACAGCTAAATTTTTTTTCTTTTTTGTTTTAACCATAATGTACTGTTTCTTTAACTGTCTTAACACAGCAGCCCCAGACTTCCTTTTCCTTTTGCTATCTAGTCTATTGATCAAGGGCCACTGGAATCCATTCTTGATAAGAGACAGGAAGTTATTTGTTGATTTCCTGAGGATTCAGAGGCTGCTGCCGTTCGGGAATTCATTTTCAGGGCAGAAACTTCCTGAGAGGAGCAGGAATGCCCTCCCTGCCTGGAAATGCCCTTTCTGTGCTGTCGCAAAGTCTTGGCATCTTCTCTCCGGGGGTCCACTGTGTCCCATAGACCCAGGCTCTCTGGCTCACCCTGAGTCTTTAAGGAAGGCTAGAACTGATATGGAAGGGGGCAGGGAAAGGCTGCATGGATTCTGAGATCTGAGGTAGGATCCAGCTCCCAGCTGTGGCTGTGCGTTCTGCAGGCCCTAGTAAAGAACTTCATATTCCGGACTTGAGGTCTTGTGTATTCTGCCCTCCCCTTCTGGAGGCAGGAATGGCCTAACCTGCAGCAGAGGGATTACTCTGAGCAGAGAGTCTAAGCCCCACCGTGTTCCACTTAGATCTTTTCAAACAGAAAGCATTTCCAGTTCTCATTTTACAGATAGCAACATAGCTAATATCTTGGTCAGTGGCTCTTGCCCTTCTTTAGAAGTAGCTCTTGCTATCCTGATGCAAAGCTGGACCTCTGACCCCAGGACTCTTTCAGAAGTCTAGGAACCTTGCCGTGACCTCCTGTAGGAGCCATACACACTGAGTGGCATGGCGGACCCACGTGGGTTTTTTTTTTTTTTTTTTTTGAGGACTTTTTTTTTTCCTCCTGTAGACCCCACCACATTGTGTGCATGTCAGTGGGGAGATGGGGAAGGACATAATTGGTTCTATGTGCTTGATGACATTAAGGCCCATTTCTGTCCCCTGTGAATTTCTACTCTGCCTCTTTAATGTCCTTATTTAAGATCATATCTTACTACATCAAATAATAATAATAATAACATTAAGAACCAGCAAAAGACCCTGCTGCAAAGGCTAATGCCCTAAGTTTGATGCCCAGGACCCAGATGGTAGAAGAGAACCAACTCCTAAAGATGTGCTCTCATTTCCATGTGCCCTGGCACATGTGCATATGCACAAAACACACACAAACACACATACTAAATAAATATAAATTTATAATAATAATAGTAATGTTAGATTTTCTTATACAAATGCAAATACTGCCTGCCTGTCTGTGACAGCCAAGACTGGAGAGAGGAAAACAAAGAAATTTATAGATCAGGAAAAATCTACAAGTAGTCAGCCTTTTCTTACACCAAAGGACTAAAGTTTGAGCTTACATAAAAGTACAGCAGGCTGGGGATGTAGCTCAGCTGGCAGAACATTTGCTCTCATGAAGCCCTAGATTCAATCCCCCAGCACCATGTTAAATGAGACATGCTCGCACAAGCCTATCATCCTCCCAGTACTGGGGTGGAGAAGGCAGGAGGATCACAAGTTCAAGGTTATCCTAAGCTACAAAGCCAGTTCAAGGCCAGCCTATGATGTATGGGACCCTGCCTTGAAAAAGCTTTTGGAAAAAATATTGCCTTCCAGTTTCACCTGGTTATTATGCCTTTAAAAGCTTAAAAATATTAAAGACAAAAATTTTACAACCTATTAAAAAAAAAAAACTAAGAGAAAGATGGCTCTTCAAAAACAATCCACTTTTACAAATTCAACATATACGTGGTTTTAAAAATGCAAAAGGAAACATTATGTATTGACACCCCCAAAACAAGAACCTCAATTCTTTTCATCCTTTCAGACATTTGTGTAGAGTGTGCTTCTAATATACTCTTTCACCCTTTCTAACGCTAGCTACCCTTTCATAGCAATACGTTTTTCCTACCTTTACCTTACTCCCACCTTCTAGATTCTCAAGTTCTCTTCAAAATTGTCCAAATCAGGAGCCAGCCCATAACCATGAGTCAAATCTAGGTAACGTGCCCTTGATTCTTCAGAGTCGCGCTTGGAGCATCTTTAGATGATATTAAGCTTAAAGAAGGGCCAGTTCGGTGTTCTCCTCATCAGAACCCACATTCTGTGGTTGCTTTCTTACAGTACTACTACTGCCCTTGTCCCTTCATTACTTTATTCTAGAAGTGAGATCCAAGGTGCAGAGGTTAGCTTTAATTGTCAGTTTGACACAACCTGGAGAGAGAGTCTCAGTGAGGGACTAGAAGCATTCTGTTGGCCTGTGGGCATGACTTTAGGGATCATCTTAAGTTACTATGGGAAGACTTCGTCCATGATGGGTAGCACCATTCCCTAGGCAGGGAGTCTTGAACTGTGTAAAAAACAAGGAAATCACTGGGCATGGTTGCATACACCTTTAATCCCAGTACTTTAGAGGCTCTGATCCCTGAGTTCCAGCCTAGCCAGGACTGCTGAGTGAAAGGGGGCAGGGCAAGTTAAGTACAAGCAAACCAGCAAGTGAGCGTGTATACGTGCTGCTTTCTGCTCTTAACTGTGGATGTGATGTGACTAGCTCCCTTGAGTCTTCCCCAAATGACGGAGTATAGCCAGGAATTGTATGCCTACTAAACCTCTCTCCTCTAAGTTGCTGCTTGTCTGGGGTATTTTATCAAAGTCATGCAATGAAACTAAAACACAAACATTGGCCAATTTAGGTGAAATATTTTTGGCTAATGCACACGTTAGGAACTGATCTAATTTGGTTGGCACCGAGTCTGAGCTAGACTTCACTCAGACCTATAAAAAACAAAAACAAGTTTTAAAAGGCCATTAGCAGTCAAGTGTTGCTACAAAAGAAGTAAGACTTTTATTTAAACAAACAAACAAACAAACAAACCTTTCCTTACTTTGTACATTTTCACATCTCTGCTTACAAAGTTCTGATGTATTCAGAATGAGCCTCATAGCATGGCTGTTTAGCTTCCTCTGTTGGCTCTGCCATTGTCTCCTGTCTTTTCTGTGACATTGGCTCAGGGTCCTGAGCTAATCACTTAGCTTTTTACCAGTCCTTACAAGGGCAGAGCAGTAGCTAATGCTCTCACAGGGCACAGGCCCCACTGAGATCTCTTAATGGCTCTGCAGAAGGCTTAGATGTTGTCCCCTGTGCTAACTCAGGGTTTGGAAAGAAGGTGAATCTGGAACCCGGGCTGCACCCACCCATGGACCTCGTTTTTCTTCTCACTGGCGGGTGCTGCATCTCCTGCTTCAGATGTTAGGTACAGACAACTGAACCAGGTGAATAGAAGTTCATTTTACAGATGGGGCTTGTCACAGCAACAGAAAACAAACTGAGACGGCCTGGAGGATGGTTCAGGTCAGTGGTCAGGGTTCCACGTTTATGAATACAAAACCAAAAAGCAAAATCTGTGCTTCCAAATGTCACTTCCCAGGCTTTTTTCTCCTTCTTCTTCTTCTTCTTCTTCTTCTTCTTCTTCTTCTTCTTCTTCTTCTTCTTCTTCTTCTTCTTCTTCTTCTTCTTC